ATTTTTGATTACTTGCAACTTAAAACTAGAGGCCTAATGCATCATGAAGTTGTGAAAGAATAAGTCTTTTAATCCATATTAATATCAAATGTAAGTTTCTTTTCTAGAATTCTTATTTTAATGAATCTCAGGTTGGATGTCAGCTTAAAATTATTGATAATATAATATTCCTTTTTACATCCAATTCAATTTCAAGTTTTATTTTAAAAATAAAAAAAAAAAAACATCACTAGTTTATTTTGTTGTACAACCAAAATAATCAATGAATGATTGGTTTTTCAATGAACTCTACAGATAACAACAGCTATTGTATTTATTCAATGGGAAAGTTTATGTTGCAAAAATTTAAATGACCATATAAACCGACACTGATTCTGGGGAAAGGTTTTGTTTCCATTGCTCCATTGGAAAAAAGAGTAGAACGTCAGATCACAGAAAATTCAAGATTTAGCAACATGAAATCTCCCAAAAACCAGGGTGGACTCGGATGTACCAGAGGGGTCAGCAGTTCATGCTTCAGTAGTGACATCTGTTGTGTATCTCCTGTTTAAATACGTCAATGAAACATATCCGGTAATCGTTGAATTAAAAAAAGTCAACTATATATGTAGAACAACGAGGCTTCTGGGAGCCTGTATCACTCCTCTGACATATTGGAAATAATGTTGTCTAATGTTTGCCAAATTTCATGAAGAAAATGATGTATTCGGTAAGTAGAAGGGCTTAACAATTTAGGAGAACCTGTTGGAAAAGAAAAAAGAATTGGTCGGGAGGACATTTATTTAAAAAAAAAACAACATCCAAACAACCAATTTTAGGTATGAAAACTATCATTTCCAACCTAAAAAATTGAAGAAAAAACGTTCTTGATCTGTTCAGAAAAAAACCCACAGGGTCCCATACTTAATTTTCTGTCTGCATTAATTGGTGTTGTGTTTTTTTAAGGGGTGTGTAAATAATATTGCTTTAACATGTAACCGTTGAATTAAATGTTACTTGCAATCATTTTATCTGCCAAAAATTCTATACTTTTTTTTTTTGGAATCCGATTCAGAAAGATCCCTGAACCCAGCCAAATCTGTAATAAGGCAAAATGCTGGTCAACCATACTAGACTTATAGTTGCTTACTTCTACGACATTTGGTCTTTGGTGGAGAATTGTACCAAGTCTTCATATTTTTATATTATAATGGATCTGAAACTAATCACTGCCCAATACAACTTGCAAAACAAATAGATCTATATCTGGTAAAAATGGAAAAGTAGGTCAACGAAGTTCTTGTTTCGGCCTGTTTTATCTCTATTTGTAATGCCTGTAGATGTGGATTTTGAAATGAATAACTTGGCCTGGTAAGAACTGAAAATAAATGACTTTGCACAGAATGAAAATGAATATTCTGCAACATAAAATGTAGGATAATTGAGGATACAAGTGAATACGAAAAAAATGAGCATTTGTAGCAACAGTTGAAAATTAATGATTAATCCGGATAAAATCATCCTGAAATAAGAAAAGTAATATTATTTTGCAAAGAATAACCATTTCAAAATGTCTCTGAATGCATGAAATATTTACTATGATATATAAATAAGGAGATGTGGTATGATTGCCAATGAGACAACTCTCTAACAGAGACCAACTGATGTAGAATTAAACTATAGGTCACCATACTATCTTGAGAGAAATCCATACCGCATAGTACGCTATAAAAGGCCCCGAAATTACCTATGTAAAACATTTCAAACGAAACAATTTCTGATTTATGAACAAAAAAATAAACGAAAAACAATTATGATATACAGCAACAAACGACAACCACTGGATAACAGGCTCCTGACTTGGAACTGGGACACACAGATTGTTGCGGGGTTAAACATGTTTGCTGGCGCCAAACCCTCTCCCTAACCCGGGACACTGATGTAACAGTACAACGTAAGAGCAAACTAACAAAATTAGTTGAATAGGGCTAAACTCATCAGATCGATACAAAGTCACATCTAACATCCAATGGATTTAGTGTAAAGTAAGTCGACCGTAAGATGGTGCCAAAGGACCATCATCGTCCAAAAAAGGAAAATTATTAATAGGGAACGAAAAATCGTCACTTTTGTCGTAAACTTTTGTATAGCGTTTCCCGTGTAAAACTGAAATATGTAAATCTAGGAAAGGACAGATATTGCTGTTCAGTAAAAGCATTTTGGTAAATTTCGGCAGTACTACTACGAATGGTATTGATTGACTGTCTACTTGTGATAATCACTTTACATTCTTTCATTTGGCAGTTTTATTTACTTTTTAAAAGTTGGTAAACGCTTTAGAATGGTTTCAAGGAACGAGTGTCATCGTATCCGTCATTCTTGGAGAAAATATTATTTTTTTTCTTAGTTTTGCAGGACATAATTAAGCAAGAATGGTCTTCAATTTAAAGAAATACAGAGGGAAAACTTAAAAGAATATTGACTTTACAGTGGCGTAGCTAGGCCATTTTTAAGTGTATGCCCGAACCTCGGCCAGGTGTCCGAATGCCCAAGCGGGTTCAGAGCAGTGGACCTCCTGGTAGGGGTTCAACGGGGCAAATTCGTCAGGAAGCTCACGCTTTATCGAGAAAGAGATACCATTTCTGACATTTAAAACTCATCAATAGCAAATATACTTTGGAGTCTAATATGTTTATTTTTTATGTTTAGTTTATTCGTTGTTATAAAAAGAATGTGGTATGATTGCCAGTGAGACAACTATCCACCAAATTAAAATGAAGTAGTATGAAGCAACTATAGGCTACCCTACGTCCTTCAACAGTGAGAAAAAACACATACCGTATATAGTCGGCTGTAAAATGCCGCGACATACAAAAATGTAAAACAATTCAAACAAGTAAACTAACGGTCTAATTCATAACAAAACAGTTTACGAAAAACAAATATGACAGACATGAACCAACAACAACCATTGCACTTCAGGCTCATGACTTGGGACAGACACATAAAGAATGTAGCGGATTAAACATGTTTGTAAGCGCCCAACCCTCCCCTAACCTTGGACAGTGGTGTCACAGCACAACATAAGAACAAACTGAAAAAAATAATTGCAATTGTATCAACTCAAAACATCGGTACGAGACACAATAAACTGTTGACACAGAGATATGTCTCGCCTGTCGGCATAAAATTCAGAAAAAGACAATCTGATGGACAGCAACATTGCTTATCATGTCGTTGGACCATGATCTTGTGGGCAGGGACTAGAAATGGTCGACAAACTGAGATGTACAGACAGTAATGTAACTCTATAGAAAATATCGTCTAATGTAAGTAGTTCCTATCAATCTAACTTATGCAGGAAACTTAACATTGAAAATTTCTACTTAATTCAAAGTGACTGGACCATGTCCTAAGGGGAAGGGCCTCAAAATAGTCGTCAAACAGATATGTACTGATAGTAATGCAACTTTCTATTAAATATCAATGATCTACTACAAGTAGTTCCTATCAAATTAACTTAAGCAGAAAAACTTAACAATTGTTGACGCCGTCGCCATCACAATCGCCGGAAAAGCAATCCCTATGTCTCGCTTTCCGCGACTTTCGTCGCAGGCGAGACAAAAACCACTAACATAAAAACAATGAACACAATTAATTAAAGCACCGATATAAGAGTTCTCTCAGTTATTGAAAGCTAGTTCAAAGCGAATTACAACAAATTGTCGATTTAGAATCTAATGGTCACTGGTTTTAGAGAAAAATGTCCAAATCCAGTTACTGTAAAATAAGATTAAAACGAAATGTTGGGTAAAACCACCAATCGACCAAAAATTCAAAACTTTAGAGATAGTATAGTTTTGACGCACGGTAAACGTAACCATGCGCCTTCTTTATATGACACGTTTTTTTTTAAATATGAGAGTTAAAACCCATATAAATTAAGACCCTTTTTAAAATAATTGAATATCCCTGAAAATGTTTTACGAATTTTAGTAGATTTTAGTAGTAGCTGTTGACTGAATAAAGAGATATAGAGATGCACGTACGTCAATGAAATAACCAGCGAACGATACAACTATCCCAAGATATCTAGGTCCTAGTGCCTAGTAGTGGTGAACCTAGAAGTAAAATTGATACTATTGTAATTTAATTTTGGATGTAACACATCTTCTGATTGACTGAATTTTTTGTCTATCAGCTCGTAGACATAACTTTATCATGTGACCAAGACGTCATCAATTAAAAATGGAATTTAGAATTAAATTATAAGGAATGACTGTAATATTTTTTTCTGTCTATTTTAAATAACCTCAAAAATGTGGTGCACACTTTTAAATAAATTTCAGTGTGCACCATATTTTTGCTGTTATTTCTTCATAGACAGAAAAAATATATGTCATTTCTTAATTGATAAATGCAGGAACGTCAAATTGGTTAAAATTTCGTGATTCGTCAAAATATCCTTATTTTGATGGCCAGAGGTCTAAATAATTATCCGTTACCGTTTTTTTTTTTTTTTTTTTTTTGAAAGAAATCTAACGTGGTTCATCAAAATCAGTCAATTTTTTTTTATTGTCATAAAGAAAATGTACATTTTATCGTCATGCACCAAAAAATACCGTAAACATCATTTGGGAAGTTTTTTTTACCGTTATTGGGGATGAAGGTACTCCCATTATGACCCTCATTGCTGAATAGACGTATTTACTTGTATGCAAATTTGTCCGCCATTAATTAAAATCACACAAATTGCGGTTCCCGTCAAATTTGACATTACAATTAAAAAATTTGACGTCATAATTAAAAAGTGATTGTTGCTTGACGTCAGAAAGTTATACGGAGACAGATCTAAGGTTGTTCGGAGACAAAATTCAGGTAAATACCAAAATTGTAAATACGTTTAATAAAGGGAAAAGGACACAGCTTGATTATTTACAACAAAATAGACTCTTTTTTGAAATATTTGGGTGGCCCTGAAAAGGGCCTTTGGTTTGTGTCGTTATTTCTGCTAATCAGGTTTATTTTTTTGACTTCTTGGCGGCCTTCTTCTTTGGCGACTTTCTTGCCTTTGTTGGTTTCTTGGCAGCCTTCTTTGCTGGTTTCTTGGCAGCCTTCTTTTTCTTCGGCGACTTTGGCTTTTTGGCCTTAGACTTCGATGACTTTTTAACTGCAGCTTTCTTCTTTCTGGGTGACCTCTTAGCCTTAGCATTGTTAGATTTATTCTTTGATTTCTTTGAACTCTTCTTTTTCGGTGACTTGGCTTTCTTTGCCTTCTTTTTTGGAGAAGCAGGTGCTTTTCCAACTCTGAAGCTACCAGTTGCACCAGAAGCACCAGCGGAAGTTTTGGGTCGGACTAAAACACCAGATTTCAATCCCTTTGCGAAAGCCAATTTCATTGCAGATCCAAGGTGTGATGTGTTGATTCCTTTGTTGTTAGCAAGGATGTATTTCCTAATGGCTTGGACTGAGGACCCTTTTCTGTTCTTCATTGCTTGGATGGCTGCAACAATCATGGATAAAGTAGATGGCTTCTTGGCTCCACCCTTTGCTCTTGGTTTTTTTGGAGTCTTTCTTGCCTTCTTTGCTGGACTTCTCTTTGGAGATTTGCTCCTGCTCCTGGACCTAGATCGGGACTTTGAACGTCTAGTTGGGCTTGGCATATTTGTTACTTGCTATTACTACGTCAAAATATGAGAATGACACACACGACTACAGGTGCTTCCTTTATGTTAATAACGCGGACGTGATAGAGATCACCCATGAAAATTGGATTTGAAAACCGGGAAATATGGCGGACATGAAAATGTGTGCTTCCTAGTTCATTTCAATTGCAGAAAATGTACAGGTAACTGTGTGAAACCTAAAATTATAAATGTAGAAATAATTGATAAGATCGACTCTTCGAATTCCATTAAAAATAACGCACATTATAAAATATTGTCATCATAAAAGCATACGTCGAACTTCTAATTGTTGGTTTCTAAAATGTTTGCTCAGTCAAAGTGACACTAAAATGGGAAGAAACTGGCGTAACTGGGTATGAAATTGGTTTTCAATGGCCAATTAATGATGTGTGTACAAAACCTAATTATTTTTAGTATAACTAATGAATGCAATATTAAAATATTTGAAGAACCAAAATAGGTTTCCAGATACATCAACGCATGTCCGCCATTTTTTCTTTGGAAATGTATATTTTCCGCTCACCTGTTGCTTCTTCAAATATTTGTACATTGCATTTATTCAAAGCTTTACTAAAAATATTCATATTGTAAATAAAATATCTTCTCTTTTTTGAGATAGACTTCTATGAAATGGCAATTTCCAAAGATTTCATGAAAGCTAAAAAAAAATGTCGAATTTTCAGTACAACATGCAAGGATTTGTACATAGTAAAACTTATATACTATACAAATCCTTAGTACACCTATGCTAAAATGTGTATTTTTAATGAAAAATGCAGTTGTAAGTGTTTAAATGAAAGTTTGTAGGATTTATCAGTCTTTACATCTATAATAAACACGATTTAGATTTATTTTGATGAGATTATAATATATTTAAGCCAGATTTTTGCGTATTTTATGTGCGTAAATTGTCAGGGTAACAAACTTCAAATGATTTGTTTCTCTTTTCTGATTGCCTTGAAAACTGCAAAATGAGCTGCTTTACAATGTTTATGATAACTCGTACAGAAAATCAGTTTCTTATATCTATGTAATATTTTCTACGAACTAGATGATTCAATCGGCGTACTACATACAATGCATGTACATTGTAAAACCTCTAATGAGTAGTAAAGAGCTAGTCAGACTACCTCAAAGCAGTTTTCACGATAAACTTTTGAATCTACAGACCCGAAGCTGAATTTTACAAAAGATTTAGTTATATTCCATTTGCCTGAAGAGATGATTGAGGGTGTGGATGGGGGTTTACAGAGTAGAGAATAATGGGCAAAAAAATAAAGAATAGAGAATAATGAGGTGCTAAAATATATAGAATAGAGAATAATGGGCTAACAATATAAAAAATAGAGAAAAATGGCATAAACAATTAAAGAATACAGAAATGAAGGACCCCAATCCAAACCCTCATGATTTTTACAGGCCCAACATCATGTTTACAAGCCTGGGCTGGTGGCCCTGTGGTTGAGGGTGAAGACTGCCTCAAAGAACAAACATTATCATGTCCTCTATGAAGTATTTGGACCATTTGGTCACAGCTGAACATATTTTGGCACATGATTTACTTAAAGCATTGAACTTGGAAAGAAAACCCTTGGATTATTAATATTGTTTCATGTCTACAAAATCTTGGATTCCCCTTTTAGCCCAGATTTCAAATTTAAAGTTCTCTGAAACCACTTTATAACAAATTACATCAGCGCATTATAGATCATCATCAAAACTTACAAGGGCAAAATTCTAAACTTTTGGATTCGGAAAAATTATATTATACTTTATGTCACTTCCTGGGAAATCTATTATTGCAAAATTGAGACTGAGCACTCATCATAACAGCGAGATATAATAAAATTGATAGAAATCAAAAGCGTGTATGCAAACCAAAATTTTAGACTAACACCACTTCATGTGGCATTGTCAATACTATAAAAGGGAACGAGAAACACTTGAGGCAAAAATATCTAAAATTTATTTAAATTTTAAAACTATTAACAATGATAATGCTAAATCAAAATTATTCATGAACAGTGGGTCTTTAAATCTACTAAAGACGTGTTCTTCTTATATTTCTGAATTGCCTAAAGTTAGAAATGATGTATTACAAAAATAATAATAACATAACATGCATATAACTTGTATATAACCTGTTTTTATCATAGCTGCCAATCATATATTTTATGTATTATTATGCAATGTACTTTGTATTGAGCCTTTACCAATTTGTGTGCTAATATTTTATATTGTCTATTGTCTATTGCATGATGAATAAGGAACTATTCAGTGATGATTTCAAAAGCACACAGCATTCTTAAAACTCCTATTCATCAGTTACAGAAAACCATCAAAATAATGATGATCACTGATGTTTACTTTCCGGCGAAAGGCTGGTAATATGATTGCTAATGAGACAAGTATCTACCATAGTCCAAATGACGCGTATTTTAGTCATTATATGATCTTATGGGTCGTCGTTCGGCCTTCAACAATGAGTAAAAATTCCGCTGTGTTGTAAACTTGTTATTAAAATACAAGATTTGATACATATTCAGAAATTTTGTTTATAAACATGTACCTGCAAATTAGAGATGATTGCTTTTGACGTGATTCATTGATCGCTGTATACCGGGTGCTTTTTGGAAAGTGACATTGATCGGTGTATACCGGATGCCTTTTGAAGTGATTCGTTGATCGGTGTATAATACCGGGTACCTTTTGGAGTGTGACATTACTTAGTATATAGATGCTTTTGGATTAATGCATTTCTCAGTGTAGGAATGCTTTTGTGTATGGCATTGATCGGTGTATGGATTCTTATGATTGGATGGATTCTTTTGGGTGTGGCCTTGATCGCTATATGGCCAATGATTCTTTTTGGTGTGGCATTGATTGGTGTATGGATGCTTTTAGGTGTAGTATCGCTCGGTATATGGATCCTTTTGGGATGTGGCATTGCTCTGTTTTTGGATGCCTTGGTTTGTGCCTTTGCTCAATGTATGAATATTTTGGTGGTGACCTTGCTCATTGTATGAAATATTTTTGGGTGTGGCATTGCTCGATATATAGATGTTTTTGCTAAAGATTCTAAATTTATAAAAAATGGAAATTTCATCAAATCTAATTCACAGCCAGGGATCTACTTCATCCCGATTATTCCATCAATGACAAACCTCAATGAAACAAACTTTGTTAATAAGGGATCTGTTTGAAATAACCGCTTGTAATTTCATAAAGTTCCGACTTATAAATATAAATAATGATTCTTGTAAATCTGACGAACCAGGGGGAATGTAAAAAAAAACGTGTCTGACATAACTATTTTTAACTTCGTACATTAAGAAACTAGTAAGTAATTTTTCAAGTTGTTTTGTTTTTATTTTGTCTGCTACACATTTAGCCCTAAGAGAGCCTAATTTATGTCACCATACAGAAACACATGTAAGGTGAAGTAAAGTGTATGTTAATATGAACCGATAATAATTATAATTGAAATATTAACGACAACAACAAGCATAACAAAAAATACCTCTCGCTAATGAAAGGCGGATTTATCTAAAAGGTTCGAACCTAAAACCTTTGAGTGACTAGAAAAATGAAGATCAGTAATTAACACGCGTAATTTGAACATTTTACAATGTAGTTTCATATCGGGCGCATTGCATTTGCGCCAATTTAAAAAAAAATACAACATTTCATTTGCTACACAATATTCTATTTCATTTGCACCAAAAAGTAAATACTGCTGTGTGCCATTTTACATGTAACATATGACGAAAAAGTTTGAAAAAATGAAATGCCGATTGGCGCAAAAGCAAAGCACATAGTTCATATAATCCAGAGACATATATATATGTCTCTGTATAATCTAAGTCAACATTGTATCATTATTAAGATGATTTTTACATATGTGGTCTCGTGAAATAAGATCCGGTCTTGAACTTGAGGTCCAGTATAAACTCTTGTGAGAATTTTGACATTGTTAAATGAAATGTCGGGAAAATGTTTAAATATATATGTAAGACGCCAATGCACTTATATATACTCGGAATGTCATTTTTATTTATTTTCATAGACGGAAATCACATGATTTATTTTTTACTTTGTCGCAATGTGTTTCATTTTTTTTATTATTATTTCTGATAACACAATTCATCTTAAGTTGTTTTGATGCGTACAATGGACCAAACGTAAAGTAGTTTTTTATGTTTTCTTATGACAATTAAAATGTGTTTTTGTCCAAGATACATTATTTAAGCTGACCTAGTGATTTTAACTGGACTTCCTATTAATGGACCAATTTATAATATGTGGGTGGAGCACTAATTGCTCAAATGTATTGCCAGAATTCCCTATTAATCAAATAAGGGACAGTTATCAAAAATGTCAGACTGTCATGTTTTGTTACTAGTCGTATCTAGATTCTACATTTAATCGCTTTGTCCAAAAATAAAGGAGGTATTTCTATAAAAAGGAACTATTCCTGTGTGAAAAAACAGACTCGTCTTAACTTTAAATACGTGACTGTATCAGTATAAGCAGATTCGTCTTAAAAGAAGCCTGAAAGGCACAAGATGAACAAACAATTATTGCTTGGAGTATTGGTTGTTGCTTTACTGTTGCAGTTTGTACAAGGTAAGATATAAGTAGTTATGTCACAATTAAGTAAACAAATTTACTAGGGGAATACAATTTAGATAAAAAAAAATAATAACCACTAAAAAGACATAAAAAAAATATTTGATAAACTTTTATTATTAATATTATTATTTTTAATTCATAGGACCAAAGAAGTGGCCTTGCCATGCAAACTCTAATCTTTCCTTAAATCGTTCGTAGAGATTGCTAAAAACTATAAATAAATTCATTCGATAGACTTAAACATGCATTATTTATCGTCCATAACTTATTATTTAATATTAATAAGTCACTCTGTTGTAGGCGTGCCATATGGTGAAAGACCGCTATTTGAAATTGGTAAGTATATATATATATATTTTCGTTCGAAAATCACGTTCATGGTACGTTTTGTATCTACCCTCTATATGTTCGGAATTTGAATTACACAGGCATGAAAATAACATTAGATATAATTATAATAACAACCATAAGAATAGGGCTAAGCAATATATATAGCAACTGTATTTACATACGCCAGCAAGAAAACGACAACTCGACAGTTCACCTTTACAGAATAAAAGTGCATATTGTTACAACGTAATATGTGCATCGTGGGCTTGTCTGAACGTGTGAAATGGGTCAAACGCCCTCAGTTCTTAAGTATGTTAAATGAATACTTAAATATGGCACACAACTTCAGGGATGTGCTAAGAATATATAGAAGTTTTTTTTATCCTAAAACGATTGCATATTATTTCTCAGATAACCAAATAAAAATTATCTGAACAAATGAATAATTATCATAATTGAAATCGAATAAATGAAGACTCTTGTTCTCTATGGATGTTCATGCACCAAATTACTTCATTACCTAGGAAACCATAAAAAAGAATGTTTTCCAATTTGTTTCGGTAAAATGACAACCAGGAGAACCCACATCTAGCTATACCAGTGATAAATCCGTAAAAAAAAGTACATATTTGAAGAGTTCAAGTTGCCATGTACAATTGTGGTTTTGATGGTCGCGGCGATGTTGCGCAAAAACCACAAAAAAAAACTTTTTTGGTTCATAAAAACCAACGGATCCAGAAAAGAACATCTTACATGAGCGGTGACGTTAATTGCATAGGAGGGGAGGGACAATACGTACCTTACTTTAAGGTGACTAAATTCAGGGAATAAGACTAACATTTTCATTGCTATCACACGATTGATAGCGTTCGAAGAATGCATGTTATGACATTGATAAACTTGCAAATTTGAATGTATTGATAAAGGATCTGTTTTTTCATTGCAGATGGCCGACTTTTTGGGTGTGCCGACACCTTAGGGAGAGGGGATGGGCTTGGTAGTAGCAGTGACGACACCAGTGATTTCTTCAGTGATAGCTGGAGCAATGAATGTTTAGACTAGATTATATTGTTATTCGTTCAGTGATAGCTGGAGCAATGAATGTTTAGACTAGATTATTATTGAACTTTTTCAATTCATTATTCAAATAAAAGTTTGATAAGTGCATTCATTGCTCATGCAAAATATTTTCTGATGTTTATTATTATTGTTTCTGATCCCAGGAGTCGTTACTCTTCGTATTTTGTGCGAAAAAAAGAAAATATTAATAGAGTCTTTGCCTTTAGAGCCTTTGTCGCTCACCTGGGTATGCCAACGGCAACAACGGCCGTTCTCCAACCTGTCTGAATCTGTTCAATCTTCTTAAGTTGGGCACTGAGAAACTAGCGATGATTTACTTCAATTTTTTTGTAGTACATGTATTATGAATTTAATCAGAATTAAGAATGACTTAGAGACCGTCTTTGGAGTGAAAGCCGTGTTTTCAAACCGAACGGATTAAAGAGAAGAATATTTATAATCGAGAATAAATTTATTCCTGTTAGTATGAATAATGAGGTAATGTGGTTTGATTTTCAATGAGACAACTATAGTCCAAAGACCAAAGGACAAGGATCATAGTTCAGTTAACCGATTGGCCAGGCTTCTGAAATTTCAAATAAGCCTCAATTGGAATCTATATGTGGCATTATTTACGTCAGTATGTTGCAAATAAACATGCATTAATAAGAATATAAGGCATTGCAAATTTTGAAAGGATTTAACTCTTTATATTTTTATAGTAAGAGAAATTTGAATAATTATCAATCTGATAAATATTTACTTCTGGTGGCCATGTTTTCATAGGATCAGATTGGTTATTATATAGTTTTACAGAAAACCATGCAAATGGGATTTGCCATTGGGTTCAAAGGGATTTATAAAATGAGGATTCTTTATAGAGGGCTCCCATTCAACATTTCTATGAATTTCCAATTTGAAACGGTGTGACTATAGTTTTAGATAAGAAGAAATATGAAAATTTACCAGAATGAATCAAGATTTGCCTCTATTATGGCCATGTTTTTCACCTGATCGGAACAAAATTAATGGTTTGTTCAAAAGGCTGTTTAGTGTTCTGAGCGTTTGGTTCTGACTTTTCATATGCTGTCAAGAAAATGGGAACCTGTATGATGCCATAGTCATCCAACACGAAATGGGTAGCTCAGTATTTAGTTTTTTCTATTTAATGTTATGACTGTTTTTGGATTTGTTCTTTTGTTATTTTCTTGCATGGTTTTGTATGTCTCCTCCGACTTTTGAGCTTTTATTGTCCCGTTGGTGTCTTTAGCCTCTTCTTTTTTTCCTGCACCCAAGCGCCTGTGTAATAAGCTAATGACTTCTCACGTTGTGTTAAATTATATCAAAGGTCTCCAAGGCATTCCACGAATTTTAAGTAAAAGAAGGTTTGAAATCTACAGGAGTATTTCATAAGATTTTTTTTTTATAATTTTCATATATAAAACGAAGCACGTTCTTGTATTTTTGTCGATATTTCTTTTATTTGTTCCCCAGAGATCAGGTCGATCAATGGGTAATAACTGATTCTATCAAAAGCTTAGACAAGTCCATAAGAATAGCTGCAAGATATTTTAAATTGGTTTAAGCCTAATTTCCAAACTCCGATAACTCTTAATAAAGTTAAGTTAAAGTTAAACGCCTGATCTTAAAGCTGCCAACAATGTATTGAAGATATCAAAATACGGCAGCATGCATGTGTACTTTAATAGCGTTTAGGACGATGTACAGATTTCGAGACGTGTCGGTCATATATCGTTTTAGCCATCGGTTCGGCCTTACTTGTTTTGTTCCTATATTTCATATTGTGGTAATTTTCAGGTGTGTCAAATTTTATAAAAAGAACTTCAAGGTTACTATTTGTTCAATATGCAAAAATATTTTTAAATCGTCACCCGAGATATATCAGGAACTAGAAACAATAATTTTAACATTTCCAAAAACAAGGGAAATCCATCATTCAATATGGTTTTCACAAATGAATATTAAAACTTTTAATATGAAACAGAAAAAAAAATAGGATATGAAATAGAAACTTATAAACATATTACACTCCATTACCAGAATGTCCCTAACGACTACAAAGATATTTCTTAAATCAATTGTCTTCCAAACTGATTGACTGCAATTTTAAGTAACAGATTGAAACAAAAATAGAATTTATGGCAACTCAGTTATTCTCAGTTTGGTGTCAGAAAAAACCCATCGCACATCTGGTTTAGCATACGTTAATCAATTCTTTATTTAATTAATATATACATAAAAAAGAAGAGGTGTTATATACATGTATTTTTGACCTGTTCAGAGCTCTGAAAATTTATGAAACAATCTAAGATATGTTTCAAAAAACAATTTGATGGTTGTTCGTCCAAACCCGAATATGATGAAAAAATGTTTTGCATACAGATCTACAATTCTATGGAATAGCAGACCGTGGCAAAACAAACATATTTCCTTGAAGCCGTTTACTTATCAAGGATATGTATAATAATACATTTTACATTAAGAGAGCGAGAGCGACAGACGAAAATCGATAAAATTCCACCATTATATCGAACGGGAAAACATGTTATTCGATGTAGATATAGATATCATAAATATAAGCTGAGACTACTATAATTGAGTTATACTAGTGTTCTCAGATATACAGTAAACCATGAAGATGAACAGTTAGCTCGAAGATTACAGGTACTGAAAAAAATGCAGATTGAACAAATTGATATCACTCCTTTAAAAAGTTTGGATTTTCAGTCCTCATTACAAGGCACAAGTTATACTAGTGTTCTCAGATATAAGAAGTAGATCCATCTTTTAAAATATTTGATGCGTTACTATATCTTAACTTCACTACTGTATTGTATTATTTCTATGCAATATTCGAAAACTTACATTGTTTACAACAGAGACATGTTTTATACTATTAACAGAAAATCTGTGCATAGTTTAAATAGTCTAAATTCACTGAAAATTTGAAACTGTATTTATAACACAACACAAACTCGGCTGTAATTTATTGAACTTTTGTATATTTTTTTTTCAATAGTATATAAACTATTTAAACACTAAATTTGTTTTGTCGCTAAAAGTAAAATGCTTGTTCTTAATCCAAATTAGTGAAGCCCGATATAAATAATCGCGGGAAAAGTTGTTATCTCCCTTAAAATAATCCGTTCGAGTTACTGTTCTTAGTAAATGGCGGATGTCCAAAAAATGTTTACATTGACGACCTTGAAAGAAAGTGCTTATATTTTTATTTGACTAATTGTTGGATATGTTGCATGCAGACCATAACATTGCATAAAGTATATTTATGACAAAATATGAAAATTCATTCATAACACATTGTGTGTCACCAATCAATATGGTTCACTTATAATTTTTGCGCACCTGAATATTTATAAATATTGTGAAAATACATGGATGGTACCAGCGCGATTCGATCCCTCAATCTCGACATCTAAGCCCTAAGGCAAAGCTCTAACTGATTGAGCAAAACAAGATATTTCCTAATTCAAACAGTTTGACTACCTGTATATCTCCATTTCTACAACACTCTTCCCCCTTTTCTTTTTTTTTTTGCTCTGGGTACCATCCATCCAAGCAGCTCACAGATCCACTACTGGACAACCCCAGAGTCTAGCCTGGCATCCTGGTCAAAATACCTCCACATCAGTACGACCAGGCGAAATACAATCCATGTGACCTCTTTTCACCGCTGAACAGGACTGAATACACCTTATCGCTATATTCCCGCTTGACCACAACAATCACTTTTCCTTTTTCTATTATGATGTCAAAATTTTACAGGAACTTTTGTGATGTCCAATAATGGCGGACAAATAGCGATAAGGTGTATTAGTGAATATCTGTGCATGTTCTGTAAACAATCAATAGAGTTTGTATTATAATTTCTGTATTGTGTTGGAATTTGCATTTGCTATGAATTTAGAAATAATTTTCAATAAATTTGTGGCAATAATGAATATAAATATTTCCCACCATGTGTCAAGAAAGGATGCTATCCCACGGTGCATCATTCTGACATCAAGATTCCTTTAAAAGAATACATAACGTTGTATTCCATCGGCCTTTACTGTCCAGTAGTTAGTCAGGATCTCAGGCTACCCCAGAGTCTTTCACTCAGAAACCCTCTGACTTTACCACAACGTCTGTGATGCACAGTAATGGCAAACAAATAGCAATAATATAGTCAACACATTCAATTTCAGGGAGCAGCACACTCCAGATGTTTTCAGCATCTTAACCTAATTAATATGATATATCTATACACATGCACAATGCACATAATTAGTTTATTAATCACACAAATATCAATTTTGCACACTATGTTAAAATATGAGGCAGGGGTTACTTTTAGTCAGGGTTGGCTCTGACTCTGATGGCCTTTTTTAACATTTGCTGTGGTATGTCAGAGCATAGTCTTTATAGAAAACATGGAAATCTTCAACGCAGAAATGGGGTGGCTCATTTCTGTTTTTAAATAGTTATATATCTATTTTCAATAGATAATTCATACACTGTTTGATTCCTCATTCATTGAATCCACTGCAAATAAGGTACATACATGTACTTGCTCATATGTGGTATTTACATGTACATGGTGATCTTATTCCATAATGCTGTTTATAGTTAGGTTGCTGTCTCAGTAATATTTATCCTTATTTTACTTGAAGGTTTTTTTAACCAATGGCAAGTGGAGGCTCTAACAACCGACCCTATAGTTTATCAAAAGATGAGGCCCTAGCTCGAATGTTACAAGAGGAAGAATATAATGCAGTAAACCATGAAGATGAACAGTTAGCTCGAAGATTACAGGTACTGAAAAAAATGCAGATTGAACAAATTGATATCACTCCTTTAAAAAGTTTGGATTTTCAGTCCTCATTACAAGGCCAAACAATTTTTACTTTGCAAAAGGCTTTCAAAAGTGGGATAAAAAGTATTGTACAAAATGTATCTCAATAAAATATTCAATCATTTGTAGTTATGAATTTTTTTTATTCCACAAAATCCTTATGACATGTGTATGTTTTTTACAGGGATCCAAATTAGCAGTAGGCCAGTGGCCCATTGATCCTAGATAAAATCTGGGCTACAAAAAAAAAACAAAGTGGTAGACTAAGGCGACTTCCAGAAATTTGCTGTGTTATTTAGCACTAGGTTCCAACTGAGACTACTATATAGTAGTTATTTATGGTTTTTAATTATTGAACTTTATAGATATACATGTACATACAAATAACGAAGTCAAGGGAAGGAATTTCCATCAGTAAACATGCAGTTATCCTCCTTTTAGCTTAGACATTTGGGGTATAGTGATAAGACTAAAGAATGTATTGAAAAAATTTGTTTGAAATATAGTTAGCTAACATGCCCTTGTAAAAACTCTTTGACAGTTCCATACGTGGCATTTTGCTAATGTGGACACTGAAAACTACATGTAAATAGAAAAAAAAATAGAAGAAAAAACTTTCAGCACTGAGAAAAATGCAATATACAAATACATGTTATATGATACAATTTGGTAGAATAAATCCATTCTTTCAGTTTAGGAACTAGAGTTATGTTTATTGTGCTCTTTGTTTCAGGGAAATATGATGTTTGGCCCAGATGCAGACTCTCCAAGTGCCATAGCAGGGAATGGAAGACCTCCTATGAGAGCCATGACTCCAATAACACAGTTATTTTCTACTTTGGTTAATGCCAGCTTACAACACCATCCTAGGCAAGCTAGACGATCTCTAGGTTTACTTCAGGTAAGATAAAACAAAGTGGGTTTTACAATCAACAAACCAAACCATGTTGAATTTTATGACAGTTGTCTGAATTTCATTCAAAGAATGCATACATTCTTGTTTAAATTTTCAAAAGCTAGCATGACTACATGTACATATGTACGATTGTATCTCAGAGGTGGCAGCTACTTGCATGCATTTTTGATATGGTTTCTGCAATTGCTCTTGCCAAAATAGACCCTGTTCATTACAATTTTTTAAATAATACAATATAAGTATCCTGATCATGAAACACAAAAAAATGTAGTAACAATTAATAGGATGAACTGCAATATTTTACCTTTTATTTCCAACTTGAAATTCAGATAGAATAGAGAATTGAAACGGGTAATGTGTCATAAGACAACAACCCGACTTAAATGCAGAAAACACCCCAAGGACACCAATGGGTCTTTAAAGCATATATTTTCTAATATTTGACAAATTTAAGCCCCGTTATAGACAGATCACATGTATCATGACTGTGTATGTTCAAAGGAAAATGTACCCCAAATAAAAAGATTTTGTAATCTGTTCCTAGTGGCATCAGCAGACTCTTCTGGTTTTGAAATGTGACATTAAAAAATACCTTAGATATAAATTAAAAACAAAATTTATTAAAATTAGTTGATATATGATCACAAATCATGCACATTGGATATATAACCAATACCTGACTATATCTCCACTAGTACTGAACATTTTGTTAAAATTTGACAAGTGCTCTTTTTACACAAGACAGACTAAATTACTAAAAAATCTTCACAATATGTCCTGAAACAAGAGTTGAGAAATTAATAGATTCCTAGTTTATGTTTTGCTTAGTCCTTTTTCTCTGTACTGGAAATTACTAACATGAATTATGATAGACAGCGTTAATATGAGTCTGACAAAGGGATTTACGTAGAAATATGGAAAACGATACATATTATTATATTTCTAAAATTACTGCAGATGTAAGAATTAAATCAGACATTGATACTACCATTACCAATTTTGTAATTCAGTTTTCACAACATTCTACTTATTCATTCTCAAACAAGGAATAAATTATTAGTCAGATAAAACCAAGAGACAATAAAAAATATTGACCTTAATTTAAGGAAATTTCTAACTTGAAATTCACTTACACAAATAGATCACATAACTGATAAAGGGAGATAATCGTTACTTTGTAAGTTAACTTAAATAAATTTTGAAAATAACAATACCCTTTATGTCATACATGTATGAATTGATAAAGCTTGTGAGAGTTGTTTCCATTAGGAGGGACATAGACTTTTATCGACAAAGAAAAGCTAGTTGATAGAGCAAATTTATTTGTGTTAATGTGTACAATCTTTTTAAGTTTTTCAGATCTTTTAATTACATTTAATCTCTTAATAAGCTAAAAGCTTTTAATATCAATAGTTATTTTTCATTTGAAAATGTTTAATAGCTACATATCACTTTCAACTTCTCATGCTTTGAATGGACAGCAGCCAATTTGTCCTGCTTAGACCAGTTTATAATTGGCAAAGGGGGAAAACTTGTGTAAATATAGTGTTAAATTGAAGAAGAATCTGTAATTGTTAAATAGACTATTGATCATTTTAACAAATATCAGATTTTATGAAAAGATTAAATTATGAAAACAAAATGAATAGCTCATCTATAGCTGTATTTTTTTGTAGTTATCTTCAGATGAAGAAGACCATAATGATTCTGATTCAGATTCTACTGTAGAAGATGAACAAGGAATGAGCACATCAAGAACTGGTGTCTCATCCTCTAGTAATGTTGTTGGCAGGGGTGCTTTAAGGGGAGGACCTAGAGGTGGGCGGGGGCGTATTGGATTTCGGCCCTCAGAGACTTTAGTTAATGTATCTTCAGAAAACACACCATCAGATACTGCAAGGTCAATGTTTTCTGTGGGTTCAGATAACCAATCGTCAAGATCAACAACATCAGTAAGAGGGAGGCCACCGAGGGGTACAGGAATAAGAGGAACAAGGAGGGGAACTACAACGAGAAGAGCTCCCACCACTGGAACAAATAATTCAGAAACAGGCGAGCCTCGTTCTAATGCTGCAACTAGTCAGACAAGAACCATTGGGCGGACTGCTCCACCAAGAAATATGGAACCTTCAGGTATATACTTCTTATGAATTGATTAAGTTTCTAATAAACAAGTAGTTGATGTTTGACAAATCTTTATCTTTTAATAAATTAATAAACATGTTCTGACTATATTTTTAGTCCCCCCTCTTTCTTTGGCAATCAATCGGCCAGAGTTACCTGATGGTGAAGTAGAACCAGAAATATTAATATTAGACAGAGGAGGAACAGGGAGTGATGCTAGATTCTTACATATAATGGTATGTTTAAAATTGTAATATGTAGCAAAATCATTTTTTTTCTTTCTTTTTTTAATTTAAATACAGGTAATGGCATGAATAGTATAATATGTTAGTAATTTTAGGATGAAAACTTGGTTTTCCTTTGTTTAACTGTTAATTAATGAAATTAGCTTACAAATTATTTGGAGCAAGACTTGAATTGTCATAATAGGAAAAAAACTTAAATTTTTTCTTAATGAATGTTTTGTACAAAAAAAATACAATCTGTTGTGTAGGGGAGGTCACTCTTGATATCCATTGATCAAGTTTATTGTAGCATGTAATATTTTGCATATGTCATCCAAACAATATCACAGAGAAAGTGTAATATATGGTATTACCTATATAGACATATTTAAGCCTTTTTTTATAGATATTTGTAAACAGCAACTCGCAGCACATTTTGATTTTGATTGATAGAACATACTTATGTCTATGTCATTTGGTCTCTGGTGGAGTCTCAGTTGTCTCATTGGCAATCATACCACATCTTATTTATATATTAACTTAGTACATGCATAACTAAATTGTACAATGTAGTTAATGTTTTATTTATTTCAGAGAGACCCAATGCTACTGCTGCTATTTTTAATGGGTAGAACACCACACCTCCTTGTACCAGATGACATAGATCCTACCGATTATGAGGTTTGTTTTACACACATTTCCCTTGTATTATACTTTTTTCTTTTTTAATAGGTAGAACAGAGCACATCCTTGATAGTGATAAGAAATATCCTACTGATAATGTGGTTTTTCCAAAAAGTACATTTTGCCAATATTAAACCTGTGTCTTTTTAATGAATAGAATTCAACAAGATCTGGTACCTGACATACAGATCCTAACGATTTTGAGGATCTTTACCTTAAAATCCATATTTTCCCCTTGCCATGAATTTGAATTGGTTGAACACTAGTACTTGACCTGCTGGTTCAAGGTGACACTGAGACAACTGATCAAGAGGTTGTTGGTATTTTGTCTGATGAATAGGGATTACAATCCTGCAGCAGTGCCATAAACTATTTGTATTAAGCTTTAGATTTCAGAGGGAAGAGGAGCATTATGTTACATAGTTTCCGTCTGTCATATCTCCCTTGTCCTTGACCTCATTTCATGGTTCACTAACTGCTTGAAAAGTAGGTTTTTAGTCATGTGAATTTCTCACTTATTTTGAGTAATAGGATAACTACAATGTATATGTGGTATATGTCCATCAGACAGATTTCACCTGACCTTGACCTCATTTCATGGATCAGTGATCAAGGTTATCAAAGTTACGTGTTTAAGTCTGTTTATCAAAAACTAAGCAGTAGGTCAACTATATTTGGTGTATGGAATTATGGTAAGGTGTATATGTCAGTCGACAGGTTTCTTCTAACCTTGACATCATTGTCATGGTTCATTGGTCAATATTAAGTTTTTATACGACTGCAAAAATAAAATGATGTCGTCGTCGTCCGAAGACACATTGGTTTTCTCACAATATCTTTAGTTTAAGTGTATGGATCTCTATGAAATTTTACCATAAGGTTAAATACCACAAAAGGAAGGTTGGGATTGATTTTGGGGGTTATGGCTCAAACCATTTAGGAATTAAGGGCAAAAAAGGGAAAAAAATAAGGGAGGTAATCCAAAAACAAAATTGTACAATGTTGGACTACCTACCTTACACTGCTTTTAAATTATCTATTTAAGACTTTTATGATGTATTTAAATTGGTAATTATGGTTGCAAACTCCATTGGAAATTTAAATTGAGATTATGACCATATCTTGAGGGAAAGAATTTTTTTTTTTGGAAAAAGGGGGTCGGAGGGGGGTAAAAAAGAAATTGTAGGGGGCTTTTTTTTTTCTTCATTTCAGATTTCAGAAATTAAAAAGAAAATTTCTTCAAATATTTTTTTTTTTTTTGCAAATAAGGGGGGGGGGTCAATACGCAACAGCATAGTGTATTGCACAAAAGCAAAAAATTGAATATAAATTCAAATCATATAACCAATTCTAAGTTCTTTGACTACATTTATTCGAAGTCAGAAACCTATTATGTGTCAAATATTTAATTACAATCCAAATTCAGACCTGTATCAAGCATGAATATTGTGTCCATTTTCGCCCCAACTGTTCAGGGTTGGACTTCTACGGTCGTATCCAGCTGCGCTCAGTGAAGCATTTTATTGTGTTTTAATCTGTTTTTCTAATACTACATTTTTAAGCAATAAGTCAACTGTATTTTGTGTAAGGATGATTACTAGGTGTAAATGTCTGTCTGGCAGGTATTATCTGACCTTGACCTTATTTTCATGTATCATTGATGATGTTAAGTTTATGTGATACTTGTAGTAAAACTTTATCTTTAGGACTATCAACATGAAATAAATCATGGTAAATAATGCAGGCAAGACATTTCAGTGTGTGCAATCTTGTTGGCTTTGGTTTCTTTTGTCTCCTTTTTTTGGCCCAAATTTAGAGGTTTTAAAGCATTCCATTTAAGTGTTGACACTCACTTCTCAATTGCTGATGACTACACAGCAAATTGTTTCAATTTTCTTGTCTCTCCTTGACGAAGTCAAAAAAGCAAGATTTAATAGGTGTGTTTGTCTGCAGTGTCAACACTATATTAGTTAGTTATAAGTCAGTCTAAGGGAAACCACTAGTTGTAGGTCAATGATATTTGGTGTGCAGCTGTATTAGAATTGACACATCTTATTTCCATGGAGATTATATGGCCCCACCCTCTCATCATGGTTCATCTTCTTTAAAACTTTTGCATAGTTTATATGTTAAAGTTTGAGTTTGGGTCAGTTCAAAGGGAACCACTTATGATAAGTCAATGGTATTTGGTATACAGTTTTTGTCTCGCCTGCAACGAAAGTTGAGGAAAGCAAGACATAGGGATTGCTTTTCCAGCGACGACGTCAACAATTGTTAAGTTTTCTGCTTAAGTTAGATTGATTATAGGAACTACTTGTGATAGATAATTGATATTTAATATTAAGTTGCATTACTATCAGTAAATATCAGTTTGACAACTATTTCGAGTCCCTGCCTCCTAGGTCACGGTCCATCGACTTTGAATTCACTAATATTAAGTTTTCTGCTTTAATTAGTTTGATAGGAACTACTTGTGATAGATCATTGATATTTAATATAAATAAAGTACATATCAGTTTGACAAATATTTCTAAGCCCTGCTCCCTAGGTAATGGTCCAATGACCTTGAATTAATTAGCAACTTTCAATGTTAAGTTTTCTGCTTAAGATAGTTTGATAGGATCTACTTGTGATAGATCAATGATATTTTGTATGAAGTCTCATTTCTATCTGTACACATCAGTTTGACAACTTTTTTGAGGCCCTGCCCCTAGGACATATGCATGGTCCAGTGACTTTGAATTAATTAGAATTTTTCAATGTTAAGTTTTCTGCTTAAGTTAGTTTGAAAGGATCTAATTGTGATAGATCAATGATATTTTGTATGAAGTTGCATTACTATCAGTTCATATCAGTTTGTCGACTATTTCAAGACCCTGCCACCTAGGTCATGGTCCAGTAACTTAGAATTAATTAGCAATTTTCAATGTTAATTTTCTGCTTAAGTCAGTTTGACAAGAACTACTTGTGATAGATCAATGATATTTTGTATAAAGTTGCATTGCTATCAGTACATATCAGTTTGAAGATTATTTTCAAGCCCTGTCCACTAGATAATTGGTCCAGCAACTGAAATGATAAACCATAATGGTGTCTATCAGATTGTCTTTTTCTGAATTTTATGACGATAGGCAAGACATATATCTGTGTCAACAGTTTATTTAGCATTGGCATTTCTTATTTCCACAGAGGTTATTTGGTCTTGCACCTTCACTCAATGTTCATTGACTTTGAATATTTTGCATAGTTTGCAGTAGCGGATCCAGAAATTTTCATAAGGGGGGCCCACTGACTACCTAAGAGGGGGCCCGCTCCAGTCATGATTCAGTGATTCCCTAAATAATCAATCAATTTTTCCCACAAAAGGGGGGGCCCGGGCCCCCTGGAAAACCCTCTAAATCCGCCTCTGGTTTGCATGTTCAAATTTTGCCATTTTGTTTGCAATAAATGCATTATAAAATCAAAATCACATAATGGTGAGACATATCTCTGTGTCAACGTTTTATCTGTAATTTTTTATGCCTAATTCTTAAAATCACATCTTCCATTCACTCATTTCTATTATATTTATTATGTTTGTCATATTTTCAGGCATTATGGGATTTAGCAGAAAGAATTGGAGAGGTAAAAACCCGAGGACTAAGTGAGAAGGATTTGGAATCATTGTCAACAAAGAAATTCAAAGGAAAAACAAAATTTAATCAGGAAGGACCTCAGTGCCAAGTTTGTTTATCAGAGTATAAGACAGGAGATGCCTTAGTAAATCTTCCGTGTAAACATGAATATCATGATAAGTGCATCAAAGAATGGCTAAAGGTCAGTAACTTTTATTACTTTAAATTCACAATTTTTGCATGCATTTGTTATTGCTGTTGTTGAGTAATGGTCAAAAATGCAAAGTTAATTATTGGGATTTATGAAAAGGCTGTATAAAAATAATGCAGTTAAGGTGGCCTCCATCTTGGATTTTGAAGTAGCAGATTAAACAATTGGTCTAGATCTTTAATGATATGTGCAAATTTTGAGAGTAGTATGTAATTCATGTGTAAGACTTTTCATGTTAATATAGAAAATTATGTGTTTTATCATATTTACGGCTATTTTTTCTAAAAAACACATTATTTTGTTTGATTCATTTTTTTTCAACTTTGCTCGATAAGGGGAGATAACTCAGATAAAGTAATTTTTATAATAGAAAGTGTTATGAATTTACCTATTTTAATATGTGTAAAACTGAAATATCTTATCTAAAATCTAATGTCTGTCTGGCAGGGACCATATGACGTTGACCTCATTTTCATGTATCATTGATAATGTTAAGTTTATGTGATACCTTTAGTATGGGGTAAAACCAGCAGCTCATTCCATAAAAAATCTTATGAGAAAAATACTTTTAAGTCATGAACATTTCAGTATAACTTATGATCAATTTTAGTTGTAAAGATTCCATCATGATCAGTTAGGTAGGTCAGACTTTTCAGTGTGTGCACTCTCGTTATATTCTAGCAGTGTACTTGAAATTTGAAAATGTAATATGGTGAATATGATGCCCACAAACCAAAATTAAATTAAATACATACGTTTAGTTAGAAAAATTTAATGTTGCAAGTATCCTGGCTAATCATTGTAAAGTTCTCAATAATAAAAAAAACACATTTAACACACCTCGGAATGTTAAATTCAGTATAATATTCTATTATGTTTATATTAAAGGTTAAATACATGTTTATTCAGTATATATATATTTTTCAATTGCAGAGAAATGCTTCCTGTCCAATCTGTCGTCATGAAATAAAATCCAACAGTTCATGAATATGAAGACTTATAAACACACTCAAAGGAAGAGTTATTGTAAAGAACACGGTTATTTCTGGTGATTTGATATCGTCTTTATATCTTTCAGATTATAAAAAGTAGACAAAGGTTAACTTAAGACATTTTTATGCCAGCTTACGCTGAATTTGAAATTGAATATACCCCCACTTTCCCAATTTGTATAGCTATTAGGGTACATGTTTTTTATGGAACCTAAACAACATTAAAGAAGAATAAACTGGTGCACAATTATGTTGCAAAGAAAACTTGGAATGAAGTTTTATTAACAACCAGTCAGTGATTGAAGACATCTTATTCCTATTATAGTATTATTGAAAAGTCCATATCTTACAATGAGAAACCCCAATAACCCTTTGTATAACAAAAAAAAAAATATATTCAAAGGTGCACAATGTCATTTAGGGTTTTCAGATTTTCTGGTTGTTTTGTTAAATTGCAGTCTTTGGTTTAAAAAGATTTTCACATACAAAGTGTGGATGGACAAACAAAGATGAAAAGTTCAAAATTATGAACAAACAAATAAGATGATTACTTTTCGAAAACAGTGTTTCTCCACTTCAATAAGGTTAATATGAAAAATATTTGAATAATTAAGTCTTAATACCTTACAAGAAATAATGAATTGAAAATACGGTATATGTTGAAAATATTGTTTGAGAAAAATACTTGAATTTTTTATTTCTTTTGATAGACAAAGTTCTATGTTTCTAGAATTATAGAACAAATAAGGTATTCTTCCTTAAGGGAAATTTTATCACAGACATTCCAATTCATGAAATGCCATAAAAATAAATTCTTTATTATTGTTCTTATTTATCTGTCACACAAGAACCCATTCCATTACACAAGATCAGATTAAGGTCTGTAAGAGTTTTTCATTTGTGCCAAATTCGATCCAACATTTTAACACCCATCATCCATCAAAAATGAGTTCCCTGATACCATATCCAGTATTTCCTTTCAAGTAAGGAAGATTTAAATCATGATTATTGATATACAAAATGTAATCATGAAATCATGTGACTTTTCACCTTCAAAATCATTAACTATTTTTATAAATCATGGTATCCAAAGGGTAGAGACTAGCACATTCAAATAGACAATTGCCTGTCCAGGATTCATGTAGACATAGGCTGGCTAAATATTTTTGCTTACAGTGTTGGTTTAATTTAATGTTATATAATATTTTTTCTTAGAAGAAGAAAGCTACTGATTTTTACAGATAAGTCAGTCCAGTTCGGCAGTTGATATAACTGTGTTAAATGTCAGTTTATTTGTATTTACATTTTTATGCCCCTGCCATAGTGGAGGGGGCAATAAGTACCATTGTCTGTCCGTATGTTCGTCTGTATGTACATTCCAAAATTGGTTTCCATTCTCTAACTATAGTTTGCCTCAGCCAAATGTTATGAAACTTATACACAATGCTTATTATCATAAAACACAGATCAAGTTCGAATTTGGGTGGTGTCACTTTTACTGTCTCTAGTTATGTCCCTTTATAGCATTATGTGCAAGCAGCTAGAGGCATCATCTGTGTCCCATGGACACATTCTCAATTTATTTTTATAATTTTATTTCTATTATAATCTACAAGATGCTCTTTATGTATTTGGTTGGATTACCTAATCATGCATCCCGATGTTACTTGGAGAAACTTATCTTCCTTTCTTACCTGACTGCATCAGGGAGAAAAGTTCCTTGTACAAAAAAAATTAGAATCACCAATCTCGTTATGAAATTTATGCTTCTTCAACTTCATCAGATTTCTGTATGTTGTCTAAGACTTCAGTCACTCCAAAGGTCTATTGGCTGTTAAAAGGAAATCCAGCTAAATTGGTTCAGTCCAGTGAGAAGAGGTTCTTCACTGGACCAATTTTCAAGTATTATTCAGAAAGATTTATTAAAGCCTTGTATCCTTAGAGACTAATGTTAGTATATATCAAAGTGCTGCATTTCTAAGAAAAGGGTCAATGATCTGGATCACATATTCTGACAGGAAATTTTCCATATTTTCTATCCATAATTTCAGGTCATGCTTAGATCATTTTATTTAAAGGGAACAAAAATACATTATGTAATTATGAAACATGTTTTAAATTTGTGTTGTTACATTCTGTATGAAACCTATATCAGTATTTTGATATGCTAGATGTACTGTTAATTCATTTATTTTCGTCGGTACCGATTTTTCTAGGATTGGGGGAAAATGGTATTTTTCTTGAATATTTGATATCATGGTTCTTCAAAGTTTGTATACATGTCTTTAGACAATTTATACTTTGTTGAACATTTAAATTCATGGCTTCCATATACTCGTGAAATAAAAAAAAAAGGGTAACCTGAATCCACAGTATACTGTCATTTCTTGTGGTTTTATAAAATTTTCATTTCAGCAAATTATATTTCAATCTTGATCATTGAATTTTGACCATATGTGTGATGTTTTGGATACATTATATTGTATTTCATATTAAATTTCTATTTATAGTCATACTTCACGTACATGTGGATTGTGAAGGTATCTCATACTGTAAACCAACTTATTATCGTGGATACTTTATTTCACATTTAGCCCTTTCAAGCCCACTTCACAAAAATTTATTTTCACGATTTTGAAATTTACTTGATATAGTTGAATAAGAAAGATGAAATTTTACATATTCACGACGATTTATTTTCACATTATTTTTCTACTTGCGAAAATCTCCAAATTAAATCGCACACGAAAATTAGTTGGCTTACAGTATTTGTTTGCATTGAGCACTAGATAAAAATGATAAGATAAGGCTGTTGAAAGTTGACATGTGTAGTCTTTATATTTTTTCTTAATCCCCACAAATGCCTTCATTGGCTCAGATAAGGTACATGTAATTGCCTGGAGTGAGTCAGGTGGTAGTACAACCTCTGGTTGGGTCAATCCAAAGACGTTAAAGGTTTGTAATGTTTCACTTTTAAGCTAGCTGTATAAGAGCAAAGACGGCTTAAAGTCAGAGTAATATTTTCTGCATGTAGGTAACATGTTCCTGTGGTCTGTTTTTTGTGAACCAGTACAGTAAAAACTCTCGACTCAGTATGTCAATCAAGTTCTACTTTGTGAACAAGCACAGTGAAACCCCAACTTAGCAAGTCTGTTAACTTCTAACCAATGTATCTTCATATGACATTAAGAATATAAGACAGGTGCTACCTGGGAAAGAGGACAAATAAGTCATTAACCAAAAAATCAATAAACTCCTACAGGTTTATACCTATATATATGATAAGTACATCTGAATTAGATTTCATGCCAGGAAGAGTTTTTTTTTTTGGACTTCAGAAAAGGTGACATTATATTTCACAAAACTTTAATTTAAAATCATAAGACAAATAGATTTATCTATAATTAGACATCTCTCCACTCTATGGTTAAATTAAAGAATTTGAATGTTTTACTTTTTTGAGTAAAGAATTGTCTGTATTTCAGTTTATTTGTTTAAGAATTATATTTCTATGTTTACTGGTTATGTATTGTTGTTTACATCTTTTTGTTTGTTTTACTGGATATTTTTTTTTAGTTTTTACTCAGTATTGTTTATATATAACTACTCAAACTATTATGTCAATTATATATACATTTTTTTTTCCTTTTTATATCTTATCTGTTTCTGGTATTAAAGTGTAGAAAAAACAAATTTAATAAAAAGAAATATGTAATGGAAAATACAACCTTCCCATCAATAAAAATTAAAAAAAATATAAAGGTCTCACAAAAGAACACAATTTTTTCCATGACCTTGCCAGTGAGAGGAAACCTCACCCCTCATGCTAGTTAATTTTCATCCACCAATTCAACATAACTTTGTATCAGTAATTCTTCCTTAAACAAGAGGAAGCCTAACCTCTCATACTAGTAAATTTTTCATCTTCCAAGTCAACATAATTTTGTAATTCTTCAGTTAGAGAATACCTGACGTCTTAAGCGTCACTTTGTATATGTAATTCTCCTTGTTGAGTCAAAAAGCTATTTCTCACCTGTATATAGAGTTTTGCAGAGATTAAAATGCATCTAAACAGAAATCGGATTTAGTGACTTGGATGTTCATACAACTTAGTGTTACTGTTTGGAGATAAATATATTTACAATCATGTAGCCACCTCATTTTTCAGTGTTAAAAATATAGTCAGTAAGGATAAGGAAAGTAAAGAACTTTAGTTGAATGTGAAGAAGGAATATTTAGATAAGTGTAGAAATAATCTGATTTACTTTGCCCACACTTTGCTTAAAAGTATCTCACAACACTCTGTACTACTCTTTGGTTATTATTAATTCAGCCAATGAAATTTCTGCTTCCAAATTTTTGAAAGTGTATGGTTATGACAAAGCAAGATGATCCCGAAAGGTCTTTGAAACAGAAAGTAGAAATGAACAAATGTTAGATCCTAAATGTACCAGTAAGCGAAGGATGGAGACAGAATCTGTATTTCGATCAGATAACTGTAGAAATCATTTAGATTTTTTGTGATGATATAATTATGTCTGTGATACATTTTATTTTACATGTATTATGAATCTTTTCTGAGAAATGTCATATTTAATGACCATGTTTTTCTTTATTTTTATATCATTTTATAATTTTATCAAAGTTTTCAGTGTCCAAAATCATTCCTTATATATATATGTACCTAAATTAAAGATAATTTTGCACTGTTTTAAAGAAAGTTTATTATGTATTAATGATTACAGGAACTATTAAAGATTTAACCTTTTACTTGTAATCTTGTCAGCACATTTATATGTATGACTGTTTTATATCTAGTAAGTTTTGCTAGTCAAAGTTAACTGATATCACAAAAGTAATAAACTGTTTTGTTGTTTAATCTATTCTTAGCATTGTTTTGTTTGCCCAGACCTTGTAGATCAATATATTGAAACCCAAGCTTAGCTTCTCAAAAATGACTGATTAATTAAAAGTACATGTAGTTCCAATTTTATCATATCCATGGAGGTGTAAACCTTTGGATATGTTCCGGACCGTATGAGTATTTGGACCATACGCGTATGGTCATGACCATATGCATATACCCATATGGTCTGACCATACGTGTCATATGAGTATTATACTTGTTTGGTTATTAACGGGCCGGACCATATGAGTATTTAGACCATATAGGTATTTCATTATTTATCTTGTCGACCTTTTCATCTGCAGGTGAAACCACAGGCATTTTTGGCATGGACCTTTTTGACTTTTTGTCCAATGCATAACGCGTTGCGGAGGACATGGAAATACTGGGTGTCCAGTCTTGTTAGCGCTCTCACAGGTACAATTCTTGCCAGATTTTTATAAAACTTATACTAAAGATTAATATCAGCAATATCTCGAACAAGTCTATAATGGTGGCTAATCGACTTTTTTTAAAAGAGTTATGCCCTTGGAAATATTAAAATTTGATTAATGGAAAATTGCCTCAATAGTGCTCTCACAGGTACAATTCCTGCCAGATTCTAAAAAAAACTTATACTATAGGTTAGTATCAGCAATATCTCAGACAAGTTCTATAATGGTGGCCGATCGACTATTTTAAAAAGAGTTATGCCCCTTGGAAATATTAAATTTATGGAAAATGGCCTTGTTAGCGCTCTCACGGTTACAATTCTTGCCAGATTTTTATAAAAGTTATAATATAGGTTAATATCAGCAATATCTTAGACAAGTTCTATAATGGTGGACGATCGACTTTTTTTAAAAGAGTAATGCCCCTTGGAAATATTGAATTTATGGAAAATGGCCTTGTTAGCACTCTCAAGGTGTACAATTCTTGCCAGATTTTTATAAAACTTATACTATAGGCTAATATCAGCAATATCTCGGACAATTTCTATAATGGTGGACTATCGACTTTTTTAAAAAGAGTTATGCCCCTTGGAAATATAAAATATGTGCTACACGGGGGAAATTGGAACTCTGTTTTTTATTTCTTATTGTTTAAATTATTATTTCTGAAACAAAATTTCTTCTAATCTCAATTTATTTTCGTTTAATAATTGTGTTCTTTCTCCTATTCATACGATTTATCTGTTATTGTAAGTTTGTATAAATATGAGCAAGAGCACATTGAATAACTAAAAACAATTTGAAATATTTAAGAAATTTTAATTCAATAAAGACACCAAAATAAATTTAAAAAAAAAAAAAGAAAAAAAAGGGTTCAATTCAGTTAAGCAATTGACTTCTTGTTTAACAGTTCATTTAACCAGACCATACGTAAACGTGTATGAGTATATACCCATATGGTCATGACCATACGTGTATGGTCCAAATACTCATATGGTTCGGAACAGATACATTGGTTGATCAGCTTACATTAAAAGCACAGTGTTGAGATAATTGATTCTTATTTTATCACATTAGATAAAACATATAATTGCTTATCATGAGTTAACAAAATTTACAAATAATAAAAACACCCAAAACAGTTATTTTATCAATAAAAAATCAATCAAATATTGAATAAACATGCATTTTGTGAGTTAGTACAAATTATAAGCTGTCAAATATTGTATATCTTACATAATTATTGGTGATTCAACAATATTGGTAAGATGTCTGACTCATTGATCATCTTGTTTCAGTGATAACAGTTCATTGATAGGAATTCCAAGTGATTTGTAATTGATGTTCAAAACACTTACAATTGTTAGGATATATTTGTTATGTATATGTAAGAAAATTTTAGGGCCTGTTCAATATTTCCTAAAAATGATGATTTGAAAAAAAAAATGCATATAGAATTAAAACTAGAGGCCATCTAAAGAGCTTGTGCTCACCTAGGCCTATGTGCATCTTCAACAACTGACAATCTCCAACATTGTGGACTAGAATAGAATTCATGTTAAAAATCTCTTAGTTGTTGATCTTGTATTGCTGATAGTTTTTTTCTTTTTTCAGTTTCTCTCTATCCTCTTTAGAGTTTGCCCAAAAACACAAAAAGGATTAAACTATAGTGATTTAAGCGCAATCATTCCTATAAAGAGTCGACTGACGATTTCGGCGATGCTCTCTTATCTGTAGATATTGTCTTGTTGATCATTTTTGCTTTTTAAAGTGTCTATCTATTATAGTTCTCAAGATAATAGGCACAAACACTAGAAATTGGTAAAAATCTTCTTTTTAGAGCAATAGCACCAATAAGGAGTTGAGTGACCATTTCGACCATGTTGACACTGCTTGATTTGTAATGTTCCTAACTATAGTAACACAGTTCATGATCTCCACTGTAACAGTGACTCAGTTCAAAGTTGAAGTGATTTATCAAACTGCTCAGAAGCAGATACTAATTCTAAGAGAAAACCACTTCACATATCTAAACCCATAAGAAAACAACCAAAAAGGAAAACATGCAGTCTTTTACGTATTCTAAATATAAACTTGTCAGTCTATTAAACAAAAACTATGTAGATTAGAAAGTCATTTAATTGAGAGAATAAAACCAGAAAAAAATAATCTGCACTAAAACATGTCTAGATTCGAATGTCAAATCTTGAGATGTTTTGAATCATTAATCTCAAAAGTAAGTAACATACCAAATTCTAAAATTATTATTGATGAAGACATGAATTTCCTAGGTTGGGACTGGAAGAGCAACACTTTAAAAGAAGGAACTCAATAAGCATCCCTACATCAATCATTTAAAGATTTAATCTATTACCATCATCTTATACAATCATTTGAAGAAAATACATGTAAAGAAAATAACCTAGATCTCATTCTAACAAATACATCAAGTCTAGTTCAGACAGTAGATGTCCTCCCTGGAATATCAGAAGTCTAGTTCAGAGGGTAGATGTCCACCCTGGAATATCAGAAGTCTAGTTCAGAGGGTAGATGTCCACCCTGGAATATCAGAAGTCTAGTTCAGAGGATAGATGTCCTCCCTGGATTATCAGAAGTCTAGTTCAGAGGATAGTTGTCCTCCCTGGAATATCAGAAGTCTAGTTCAGAGAGTAGATGTCCTCCCTGGAATATCAGAAGTCTAGTTCAGAGGGTAGATGTCTTCCCTGGATTATCAGAAGTATAGTTCAGAGGGGAGATGTCCTCCTGAAATATCAGAAGTCTAGTTCAGAGGGGAGATGTCCTCCTGGAATATCAGAAGTCTAGTTCAGAGGATAGTTGTCCTCCCTGGAATATCAGAAGTGTCTTTCCTGGAATATCAGAAGTCTAGTTTAGAGGGTAGATGTCTTCCCTGGAATATTAGAAGTCTAGTTCAGAGGGGAGATGTCTTTCCTGGAATATCAGAAGTCTAGTTTAGAGGGTAGATGTCTTCCCTGGAATATCAGAAGTCTAGTTCAGAGGGTAGATGTCTTTCCTGGAATATCAGAAGTCTAGTTCAGAGGGGAGATGTCCTCCCTGGAATATCAGATCATAATATAGGTGTTACAGAGTATGACATGAATACCATCAAAATTTAAGGAACAAGAAAGACTCATACCACAATATAAGAGAGCAAATTGGGAATGTTTCAAAGATGACCTTAAATCACTTCATAAACAGCTGAGTCAAATGTATTGATCTAAAATCTAAAATGCAAATGGCATCTGGGTAAGAATAAAGACTGTTCTACAGAAAGGAATAAGATCTTATTTCTTATGCAGCAAAAATACTGCAATCTGATTGGTTAATTACCCCAGTGCAAATAACACCCACCCTTGTTCACCCCGGGATAAATAAAATTTGGCCAAAAAAAATTTAAAAATAAAATTTTGCCAAAATAAAGAAGAAAAAAAAAAAAATAAAATAAAAATAAATAAATTTGAGGAAAAAAATTGAAAAAAAAAATATTTAAAATTTTTTTCCCCCGAAAATTCAAAAGAACACAAAATTTTTCTGAATTTTCCCAAAAATAAAGAAAAAAAGTATTTGACAATGCGCAGCAACATCGACGTTGAAATAATGTTACACTGGAAATTTTTTATTACCATTTTTCAATTTTACATCCTGGTTTAAAAATGAGTAAAGGAATTGTTCATAAGAAATATATATGTATGAATTTTCAACAACGGTGTAAAATTCTGTACACCCCTGATTACACCAAGATAACTAATAATATACCACACAAAAAATACAAGAAGAAAAATTTACACTCATGGATAAAAGGAACTCTAAAAAAGCTTACAAAAAAGGAAACAACGACTCTACCAATGAATGAAGAAAACCCAGGATCCTAAATTAAAGGAAGAATATAATGCCTGAAAGAGGTGCAAAGAAAACAACGAAATGCATACTGGCAATACATCGAAGATATCATTACTCCTCAAAACGACGTAAAAGCATTTGAGAGATCCAAAAAAAATCTGGACTTTTGTCAAACATAAAAGGAAAGAAAAGATTGGTATAACATCACTGATCAAGGAAGGAAACCTGTTCACTAAACCAGGTAATAAGGCGAAAATCCTTAATGCACAATTTAAATTTGCATTCTCTGAAAAGGTACATTCACACACGGCCAATTTATATCCTTTAAGCAAAAGAATACGATACTAACTATGAAAAACTTAACCATAACTGCAGAAGGCATAGACAAACTACTAAGAAACCTGAACCCAAACAAATCACCGGGGCTGGATAAAATATCACCAAGAATCCTCATAGAATTACACAATGAGACAGCACTCATTAATCAGTTAGAAACTGGAGATGTCCCAAACGACTGGCGGTCGGCAAATGTGTCTGCGGTCTTCAAGAAGGGTCAAAAGTAACGGTATACTGCAGCAAACTACAGGCCCGTCTGTATCATTAAGTATGACTCATGGTGAAAACAACAACATTCTTTACAAGTTACAACATTGCTTCAAGAAAGGCAGATCCTGTGAAACTCAA